GTTCCCCGGTCTGCCTGGAAGCCTGGGATCCCAACTCTGCCCGCCCTGCCCGCCTCAGTTTTTCCATCCTGCTCTTCTTTATGCCCTTGGCCATCACCGCCTTCTGCTATGTGGGCTGCCTGCGGGCTTTGGTCCACTCAGGCCTGAGCCACAAACGGAAGCTCAGGGCAGCTTGGGTGGCTGGAGGAGCCCTTCTCACACTCCTGCTCTGCTTGGGGCCCTACAATGCCTCCAATGTGGCAAGTTTCATAAACCCGGACCTAGGAGACTCCTGGAGGAAATTGGGGCTCATCACAGGGGCCTGGAGTGTGGTGCTCAACCCATTAGTCACCGGCTACTTGGGAGCAGGCCCTGGCCGAGGGACAGTATGTATGCCAAGGACTCAAGGAGGAACAATTCAGAAGTAGCAGCCACCTCTGGGGGCGAGGGGCATTGAGTATCTGTGGATGACTCTGCCAGGCCCCCAAGAAGGCTGCTCCACCGCAACCCGGGAGCAGCCTGGCCCAAAGCCATCACAGAAACCACTCACGGGATGGGCTGTACACGGAGAGGACAGTGTCCCTGTACAAAGAAGAGCGTGGAGGTCAAGAGCTGGGAACAGGGGACAGTACAACTGCCTGATACATCCCAGTTCGCCTCCTAACTGCTTCTGACTGACCCTCATGTCCTAACCACCTGCCTGCTGTAGGCTGTGCGCAGCCCTGCACTCCTGGGCATGAGGAAGAGGCCTGTTTCTGATCAGGAGAGACACCACCATAGTGACCCAATTTTGGAGTGTTTCCTTGAAATAATTTCTGAGGGAAGAACATTTTCCATTTCTGAAGAAAGGAAGCAACATTATGACCCTGCCATACCCTTTTTCAGCCACTAGATGGCAGCCTTCCAGTCGACCACAGAAAGTAGGCTGGAGAGAAGCTGGGGCTTTGGGGACAGTAGAAGAGGCTTCTAACCGTGGGCGTGTCTCATCACGCCAGTTGACTCATTTCATCCTCATAGAACCCTTCCATGTAGAGTAGCCCCACCCCTGTGTCTGTGTGTGTGTGTGTGTGTGTGTGTGTGTGTGTGTGTGCTCGCGTGCTCATGCGTGCATGCCGGTGTGCCTTGCACCTGCTAGGCAAGTGTTCTACGGCTAAGCTATATCCCCAGCTACCACCCCCCTTCTGTTTTAACAGGGTTTAGGCGGGTAATAGCCAGGCTGGTCTTGAACTAGCCTCAAAGTGATTTCCCCTGCCTCAACCAACAGAAACGACGAGGCTGTTGGCACAGGCTACAGCTGCCCAACTCACACAACCTGTTGATTCAGCCAGGTGCCTGCTGTTTCAAATGGGAAGCTTTGCACCAGACACAGTGCCCAGCAGAGGGAGCCAACACCAACAAGATTCTGTGGCCTGTTGGCTGGGCCAGCCATGGGCAACCTCTATTCTCATTTGAGCAGACAACAGGCTCCCCCAGCAAGAAAACCTTGTGATGTGAGCTGTACTGGTGGTCCATTCGGAGATGGAGAAGAGACACACCCCAGCCCACGAGAGGGAGGGCAGAGGAGAGTGGCCAGGAAGGAGGCAGGCACTTGGGCATCTCTGATGAGGCCAGGTGTCAGAACCAAGCTTATTCTTCTCATGACAGTAAAGCCTCCCAAGAGTGCCCAGAGCACTTGGACTGGTTCATACAAATGATCTCTTTGGGCAAGTGGGTCTCTGGATGTTCAAAGCCAGCCTGGTCTACATAGTGAGTTCCAGGGCATCTAGGGCTGTACAGTGAGACCCCCGTGGGCGTGGGAGGGGGGAGAAAACTATCTCCTTGTGGCCTTAAATGTGTTTGAATGTAAGGGTTTTTGAACAGTAGATCCACCACACTTAGAAGAGAGACCAGCGCATAATAGGTGCTCAGCAAACATTTGTCAACAGATAGATACTCCTGATCTCTTGCCAAAGAAAACTCGGTGTTACTTATTTGGCAAATATATCAAAGTGGATGCTGGCCAGTTCTCCCAGGCCCCCTCAGTACCCGTGGCTCCTCCCCCAACTCCTCACCCCGCCCCCTACCCAAAACCTCTCCCTCCAGGGCCTGGGCTTCTGCATCCTTTCCGCTACCCTGATCCCTGTATAACTCAGGCCATTTTGGCTGAGCAGTCTCTTGGTTGGCAGCTCCTCTCTTCTTCTCCTCCCACCCCGCACCTACACCCCCATAGTCCAGTTTAGTCTGCCAGCCACGTTCAGCCCGGACTCTCCCCTCTGCCTGCCTTCTCTCTTATCTCTACAATAAAAGTCTTAGCCATACTTCAGGAATAGTCATATCCTCCTCCTCCTTTTATTTTATTTTATTTTTTTCAATTCACCATGCAAGCCAGAAATAGACGTGGCCTCTGGGCAGCGGGGACACAAGAGAGTTTTAGTGTAAGTCCATTCGGGCCCCAGTGCCCACCCCCATAGTGTTGAGAACCTCTGTTTCCGCTGGCCTAGAGCACCTGTTGGGGGTGGGGCCCACTGCCCTAGTTACCTGGGCTTCCTTCCATTGGGGGCCAATCCACTCCCTTCCCTGGGCCCATGAGGCCTGCTCTGCCCGATCCACTCAGGCTTCCTCCACCAGATCTCTTGATCATGCTTCTGCCCAGGTGATGGAGCTTTCTTTTTAGTATTGATATCTTTATTTAGTCTCTCACTAAATGCAAGCCCGGAAGCAATAAAAACTGCTTGGCTCACAGTAGCTCGGTTAACAACCAAGATATAATTCACACGTCGGAAAACTCACACATGCTAAGTACCCAAGGCAGCTTTCAAAAGTAAATGCGCAGGGCTGTACCCTGTTTTCAGCACCTCGCCTCTCACCCTCGGCTCCCAATCATTAATCTACTTTCTGTTTTAAAATATTTGCCTCTTCTGGACATTCCATGCAAATGGAATTGTACCATGTGAAACAGAGCCTGCTATGTCTAACTTCCATGTGGTATGCTCTGCCGTTGCCCTCATGCCTCACGTGTGTTTATCTGTTGAGGGATCGTGGCCTGATATTTTCACTGTGAGCCATGGTTGCTAGGGCCTTGGTGCAGATGATATGTGAGCCTGAGTTTTGTGAGCAAGCCTGTTCTCGAGTCTCTTCAAGAGCAAACACTCACAGTGGAATTATTGGTATCGTGTAAATGCATGTTTAAGTTTTTTAGAGAAACCACCAAATTTCTTTCCAAAGTGGCCACCCCATGGTGCCATCCCCAACCATCAACAAAGGCTTCGGGGTCTTTTCTTCATTTTGCCCGAACTTGGGTTCTGTCTGGTGTTGTGCTATAGCCATTCTGGTGGGTAGTGTTGGTTTCATGCTCTGCTCCATAAATATTTGAGTGAAGAGGTGTGCTGTCTCTGGGGACGAAGAGAGCCAGGCGTGAAACATGACGCCACCCCTCACCTCCACCAGCCGTGATGCCTAACAAGGAGGGGGACCCTGAGAGTTACTTTCCTGCTATGAACAAAAAGGATGCTGGATGTAAAATAGTGATGCCCTGAGGGCCTGTTGTGGGTTATACTCCCACCAAGAGACAACTGCAATCTTCACAGCCTCTGACACCACCATCACCCCAGATCCTTGCCTGCACCACAAGTACCACGGCAGGGACAGGCTCTATTCTATGTGTTTAGCATGTTACGTCTTGTTTGAGACAGGGCTTCATTTAGCCCAGGCTGGTCTCGTAGTTGACGATGACCTTGAACTCCTGATCCTCTTGATTCTTCTTCCAAACTGCTTAAGGTGCTGGGGCTCGAATACAAGACAGGCAAGTGCTCTAACAACTGAGCTTCAGCCTGGTCTAAGTGCTCGCTCCTACCACTGAGCTACACAGCTGGTCAAATGTGCATGTTTTAATCTGTGAAATTGTATTGTTACCTCTGTTTTATAGAATGGGAGACACAGAGTTGTACTCATCTGTCCCAAGTCACAGACGCAGCAAGAAACAGTGCCGGCTGCAGAGCCCAGCCCTCGGTCCAAGCGCTCTATCTCCCACACGGGGGAGCATTAGCTATGCCGGTTCTAAAGAAACATCCCGAAATCCACGTGGAGGAGATGAAGTCAAAGTAGGGGGAAGCAAGGTCCCAGCTGAGACTATGTGCAGAGATGCACGCGGCCTTGGGATTTGTTCTTCTCCTTTTTCTTTTTGCATATGGACCCAGCCGAGATAA